AAATTTTAATTTTAATTTTTAAACCGCCCAAATTTTTTTTTTATTTTTTTTTTTTTTATTTTTTTTTTTTTTTTTTTTTTTTTTTTTTTTTTTTTTGAATTTCTTGATTTGTGGCACTTTTGGTCTTCCACAAGCAAGGCGTAGCATTGCGTTTCGAAGTGGGCGTGGCTGTCTGATTTACTATTGGCTGTCAGTCGGACGGTCGCACTGTGGTCAACCAGTAACCTCCATCGTAACCTCTCAACGCCCCGCCCCCTGCAAACACAGCAACAAGTGCACTGAGGATGCTCTCGAGCTCAAATCCTCTAAAGACTCACTGGAGCTGGACTCCCCATTGAAATAACGAGCTGCATCTCAGTAACGTCTAGCTTTAACACGCCGCATGATTCTTATCAGTGCCCATCACTGTTTTACTTTGTTTCGAACGAGTTTTACCGGTTCGCGAAAGTGAAATTAGAAACTGCGTCGCTTACGCAACTCTGAAGAAGTTTATGAGTTAGTTAGCTCCAACTGCTAGCTCAAGAAGTCAAGGAGCCGTTTGTCTTCGGTATGCTGCAGGGTGACTGAAGAGAGGGGAGAAGAAGAGGGAGAGCGCTTGTTGGGCTTTTTCTGTGCCCGACATGAGCCTGGCAGAAGCCAGGAACCAACCCGCTAGGAGATACAGTCTGCTTCGGTATGGATAAATAGCAAAACCGCTGCTCTGTCTTATGTGAGAAGAAGAAGAAAGGTGGAGGACATCAGCGACTATGAGCAGGGTATGTTTTTATTGTTTCTATTCACCAAGACTTTTCAACAGCGTTACGGCTAAAACACTTTAATTGAAAGTATCTGTATTGTTTCACCCCTCGGCTGCAGTGATTTCACCCTCTTTGCCTGAAATGGGACCTGTGGGGGTTATTGTGGTGCATTACAGGAGTGGTTGTTATAGTGATGTGGGAGATGCCAGGGTGTGCTGGGAGTTAGTTAGTGAGCAAAGGAGAGAGGGGGCTGAGGGCCTGCTAATTCAAAGAACTCAACCGT